CTTGCTCTGTTTCCAGACTAGGCTGGTATGCCCTTCCTTAGGTAGCTGCGTGGCCCTCCACTCCTAAAGATGCACCATATTGGTGCCAGACTTAGTGTGGCCATTGATCAGCTTAACCTACTGCAGCAGAACTCCAGAGTTTAAGACTTAACCTCCCCAAGGCAGAGATTATTGGCATGTGTCCACCAGGCCTGGATCACTATCAAATTTTTAAGACCTCTTCTAGTTCTGATATCCTAAATAAGAACAATGTATAGGATTAGAAAATCTTGAGCTACGACTATGCATCTATTGCTACAACATTGGTACAACTGGGCAGGTTTTCCTCCTGTTCTCCTAAACTATTTCCCCTCCTGCAATCCTTTATCTCTTTCTATTGTCAGGACAGGAAGAAGGGGATTTACACTCTCCTTTACTAATGAAAAATTGAGCCTTGAGAAAAGACTCATCAGTGATACCAGCAGTCATACCTGTCTTTTTTTTTTCTTTATTGCTACAAGCATAGGTCTCACACTCATTTTAAATTCCAGGGCACAAGAAGGGTACTTGGGAGTTCTTAGGCCCTTCATATTCTGATCTCCCAGGAAGGAAGCAACTCAAAGTGAGCCACAACTATCTCAAAAGAAAGGTTAGTGAGAATAATGAATATTCCCTGGACACAGGTTCTTTGTGATTTTGTGGCTAAGAACAACATAAACCAGATGACTATTTTAGGTCATGTTATTTCAAGTCTATGACTCAGGCAAATTTTAGACTCTTCATTCGCTTTCTGTAACAGATAGCACGTCCAAAGAATCCTTAAAACAATCACATTGAGCACATAATTGATGAACCTATAATAAACAGGGTGTAAAGGGAGATATTTATTTCCCTTACAGAATTATAGAATTTTAGAGGTGGAAGGGACCTAAATCTAAAAGGCCATTTATTTCAGTCTTGGGAAAGTGATTTTCCCAAGGTCACATAGCAGCAGATGTGGAACTAGAATTCAGGACTCCTGCCTTTCAGTTGAGTTCTTTCTTGGATCCACCTAGAAGGTAACCTTTTCAAAGATGGCAGAGGTCAGGAAAAATGAATATTGAAAATTACAGAAGGAAAATTTTCCATCATTGGGGAAAAAAATAAGGATTAATTAGAAGAACCAAGTGAAGATGCTGGATTTCCTTAGTGGGCACTCTTTTCTTATAAGGATCTCTTCATAATAAGGTAACTCCCAGGACTTCTATTTTAAGGACACAGAGAGCATTAACTCTGAAACTAACCTCAGATCAACAGAGTATCCTGAGTCAAAGGTCAACCAAATCTTTCAGAGTCTGTTATTGAGTAACAAGCCTCATAACAAAATTCAACTTTCTCACTTTACATTTACACCTGCCAAACGTGTAGACTCATAGATTTATATCTAGAAATGGCTTTTCAGGTCTTCTTGTCAGGTCCCCTTATTTTGAAGATGAAGAAACTGAGGGACAGGGATATTAAATGATTTGCTTTGTTTCATACTAGAATTCGAAACCAGATCCTCTGAAAACAGTCAGTGCTATTTCTGTTATGTCATTGGTCTTTTCTAGTATGTGTCCTGCCTAACCAAGGCTGGGAGATAGATAGACCCCATCTTCTGGTGTCACTGCTTTAAGAGTTTTGTTTTTTTTTTAAGGCCATCAACAGCCTCATCAGTTTCCTCCTGTGTTTTGAAAAGGAGTAGCAATAGATGATCTCCAATGTCTTTTCAACTCTACATCCATGTTCTTACCATCTATCTGGATTAGAATTCTATGTCTAATCTGTTACATCGACTCAATGGGCCTCAGTTTCTTTACTTGTAAAAGGGAGTTTGGGTCACGAGTTCATTTCTTTAATGAAGCCACATCATATAATGAATAACTGGAAGGCTTTTTCATCCTCATTATGGCCTCCAACCGCTCCTTTGCTCAGTTCTTTCTCAGGCTGTTTTTATTACCTAAGCATTGGTTACACTCTTCTCTATCTCTGCCCTTAGTGAATTATTTCAATTCTACTCTGCTCTCTACACTCAAGTCTTTTGCACCCTTGTCCTAATAGTGATCATGCTGGGTAGCATAGGTGGTAAAGTGGGAAAAGATCTGGGCCTGGAGTCAGGAAGACCTGAGTGTGTGTCCTTGGACAAGTGACTTAACTTCTGTTTGTCTCTGTTTTCTCATCTGTAAGATGGGGCTGAAAATAGCACCCACTTCCCAGGATTGTTGTGAGGATCAAATGAGATAATATTTGTAAAGTGCATAGCATAGTGCTTGGAACATAGTAGGAACTATGTAAATGTTATGATTATTATGTCGTTATTGTTATTATCATGCCCTGCAAAACCCCAACCTTGGATTACTCTCACCATCTGCAACTTTTGTCAGAAGTTGGAATGTCTTGTCCCAAGGTCAGCAAGGAGGCCAGTCTCTCTGGATCATAGAATATGCGGAGGTATGAAGGGCTTTGAATGCCAGACAGAAGAATTTATATTTGGTCCTAGAGGTAATAGGGAGCCACTGAAGTTTAATTGATTAGGAGAGCAACATGGTCAGATTTGCACTTTAGGAAAATTGAATGGGAAGAGACTTAAGGAAGAGAGATGAATTAGAAGGTTATCATAATACTCCAGAAGAAAGGTAATGAGGGCTTGAATTGGAATTATGTCTGTGAGTGAAGAGAAGGGGACCGATTATATGACCGATATAGGGGACCGACAACAAGATTTAGCAACAGGTTGCATTTTTGTGGGGTGAGGGCAGGTGAGGAGCTGAGTATGACACTGAGGTTACAAGCTTGGGGGACCGGGATAAGGGTGAAGCCCCTGAGAGAAAACAGCTTTGCAAGACTTAAGGACTCTAGTCAAAGTAATGGCTAATGGTGATTCTGGTAGACCCATGATAAAAAATGCTACCCACCTCCTCACAGATGATAGACTCAGAGTGAATACCGAGGCATATTTTTTTCAGACAGGGCCAAAACAGGAATTTATTTTGCTTAATTATGAATAGTTACAGAAAGATTTTGTTTCACTTCTTTTTTTTTCTCCCAGTGAGAAGGGAGTATGAAACAGAAAAAATAGATTTTTGTTCATTGAAAAAATAAAATAAAATTCAAAACTCCTGACATTACGTTTTTACTGGCTTTCCCCTGTGCCTGTAATTCTCTTCCTCCTCATCTCCATCTTTGGCTTCCTTCAAGTTACGTTTAAAATCCCACCTTCTACAAGAAGTCTTTATCGATCTCTCTTAATGCTAGTGCTTTCTTTCTTTTGATTATCTCCAGTTTACCCTGTATAGCATTTGTGCATAGTTCCCATCTCTATCATTTTAAATGGTGCTTTCTTTGAGAGCAGGAACTAACTATGTTTTGCCTTTCTTTCTATCTCCAGCAAGTAGAACAGTGCCTGGCATATAATAAGTGCTTAATAAATGCTTGTTGACTTGACGAGTCCTGTAGAGTTTGTTATAATGACATTTTGCTTGTATATGCAAATGTACAATATGCAAATTCCACATGAATGTACAGATTTTGCCTGTAGCACTTAAATTCCTCCTCTCCCCCCGCCTTTTTATACAAAGGAAATCAAGAGCTGGAGCTAATGCTGAGTAAGTTTTCATGATGAAAAATAAGGTAAAGAAGTTGTCTCAGATTCAGATAAGCTGGAGGTTTATTTTTCAGTTTTTTTCTTTTTATATTCACCTAAAGTAATGCCATGTGCCCAAAAAAAGGAACATAAAAAGAGATATTGGATCTAATGTTCTTTCCAATTTAAACCCTAAAACAACTATTTTTTTTGGGGGGAGAGGTGTATCATTTCTTCTCCTGAAAATAACCTTCTCAAAGTGGTTGCAAGATTGCCCCTATTTAACCAGACAAATCCAGGAAGCCTATGTTCTATATTCTATATTCTATATTATGTTATGTTATATGTATATATATATATATATATATATATATATATATATATATATATATATATATATAGTCCTTGTGACACCATATTATTATATTATTCTTAAATCTTTCTGGGATAGGGTATTCTACAGTTTTCCCTGGAAATATTCAACTAGATTCTTAACATTGAAAAGCACCATAGAGGGCAACTTGTCCAGTCTCCCATTCAGTGCAGAAATCCTTTTCACAATATTCCTTACAGATAACCAACTGCTTGAACATTTCCAGTGATGTGAAGTTCATTTCCTGAAGAAGCTACTCATTCCAAATCTTGACAGCTCTAGGAATTAAAGCCCTTCTTTAGCCTGAATTTATATCCCGTCACTTCCCAACTACTACATTTGGAAAATAAGGAACAAATCGCTTCCTCTTTTACATACTAGCTCTTAAAATTGGAAGACAGTAATTAGGCATTGAGATCTGAGAGGAATCAGAAGGCTTGTGTTCAAAGTCATCTGCAGTGATACTGGGCATCCTTTACCCCTTTCAACCTTGGTATCCTTATCTGTAAAATGAGGCAATAGGATTCGATGACCTCTAAGATCTCTTCTAGCTCTAAACCTATGATCCCATGAGAGGGCTGAACTAGACAGCCTCTCAAAGTCCCACCTAGCTCTACCTCTACGTCTACGATCCTACATCTCTCCTTATTTTTTTCTTCTACTAGTTAAAAATCCCCAGTTCCTTTAACCATTCTTCCCATAATATTCTTCTCAGATTCTTCAGCTTCCTGGTCATGGCCCAGTTTGTCTCTGGCTGTAAATTTATTTGCATATAGGAACATAGATTTGGAGCTAGCATTAACTAGCATCTAATTCAATGCCCTCATTTTACAGAGAAGATTAATCCCAAGGAAGGTTAAAAGATTTGTTCAACATCAAGCAGATAGTGTGAGAAGCTAGATTTGAGCTCTAGAAGAGGTCCTCTGACTCTGAAGCCAATGCTCTTTCCATTGCCTCTAATGTGCTGTAGCTTTTAAATACTTAGGTGATTGTTGAGAATGCTCTCCTTACATAGTGAGCTTGTTACACAGCGATCTATGGACTTACCTTTGCCAATGTCTCATCATCGAGGTGATTCTTCTGAATCACATGCTGAAGGGCGAAATAAATCTTCTCCTGAAGCTTCTGGACTTTCCGAGGTTCTATCAGCCAGGCTCGGTCTAACAAAGAAAAAAAAAAGGAAGTGATAAAGATGGAGACTGGAAAAAAAGGCTTTGATATCATTTACCATCAACGAAGACAAATCCCATATTTCAAGTCCCACAACAGGCCACTTGTAAAGCTGCTTCTGAGGCCAACTTTCCAAATTTGCAATAAATGGCACAGGAAATCATGATTTAATGAAAAATGTACTGGTTTCAGAACTTCTTAATGTCTCTTTATTCTTAATCACACATTATATTTCTCTCTCTCCTGACAGGAATCTAGCCTTGGTTTCTGTAATGCAAAGTGGAAATGAATAATCTGTCTGGGAGGAAAAAAAATGCTTCGTGGAAGAATAGCCTTGATATTCGGAAAGGCTTGTTCTTCCCTGCCACACACTTAGGCTTTCTTATCAAGTATTGAAAGGAAGTTGTTTTATGCTTTGTATAGGATTAATATAAACTGATGCTGTGCATTCTCTCTGCAGACCCATTTCCCCTCCTTCTTGCTAGGCTTTGTTAGGTGTCTGTGGTGGTGATGGGAAATTACAGTACTTATCTTCTGGATGCTTCATATAAAACAATGTGCTGGGAGGCAGTATGGTGGACTAGCCTCAAATTGGAACTGACCGTCCATAGCCCTAGGAATATAAACTAGCTTTACTGACGAGTCAGTATGAATCTCCAAATGCTGAATAGATACCCATGGAAAAGAACCTGGGCATAATACTCCTGAATCCAGTTCAAGTAAGGTGAGCAACTTGATTCTGTAATTCTAGAAGGAGCAATGACAACTTTACCCAACAGTTAAGCAAACCCTTACGTAAGTGAACACAAAAGCTCTCAGTGACTATTGTCATTCAGTTTAAATTTAGTCTCTCTCCCCCTCCCTTCCCAGAGCTGTCTGGAATGAAACAGTTGGCCGCTATTGTGGGGTAGTCTGGGAAGAGTGGAGACTGGCATGAGAGAAGGCCCACTGGGGCTCAGGCTTCTGCCTGGTGGGAGGGCTACTGGTACCTGCTATTCTCCTTATTCTGTTGAAAAGGTGGCTACATGCCAGAACAGTCGCAATGTTAAAAGGGTAACTGAAGGTTATTGATGTGGGGCTGTTGGCCAGGTTGGAAAAGTTCCATAAAAGTAGAAAGGGCCAAATCCTATGATATCACAGGCAGTTAGGTGGCGTAGTGTAACTTGGTGTCAGGAAAACCTGGGTTTGAGTCCAGCTTCAGACATAGTAGCTGTGTGATCCTGAATGAGTCACTTAACCACTTGTGCCCTCAGTTTCCTCTCTGTAAAATGGGGATGATAATATCACCTGCCTGCCAGGGTTATTGTGAGGATCAAATAAGCTAATATGTATAAAGTGCTTTGCAAATCTTAAATCACTTTATAAATGTAAGCTATTCCTATGATCATATAAAGTCAGGAAGAAATTTTTTGGGTGGCGTTTGGAGGGTGGGAGGGGGACACAGAGGAAGAGAAAACTACAAATGGAAGATAAGCAAAATTGGAAAGCTAGCTTATAGTTTACCTGGAAAGTTCAGACAAATGTTTTCCAGGGTAGCTCTTCCCTAGTTGTTGAATACCTGAGATCTTATTGACTATACATAGTCTTCTGCAAAAAGCAGGCCATGGTGGGAACCAGGGATTCATCTGCTTTCACATTTAAGTTCAGGATTACCCATGAATAAGGTATGTGAGAAGTTTGGTTAAATCATGTTTACAAATCTGATGTTATCCCTTTACTGACATGGGCCCCTTTGATTAAAAAAAAAGGGGAGAAAAGTTTCTTATTCAGATTTTTTTGGGGAGCAGAGAACTTAGTGAAACTTTTTCTCTCTCACCCACTGACCCATAGCTTTAGATTTCATCATTTTGAAAACCATATTCCAGGGAAACAAGCAAATTTCATGAAAACCATTGAATAAAAGAGAGAGAAAGAATAACAAAAGGGAAATTACACAGTCTGTCATTACTGCTGGGAATAGTTAGTGGTATCTGTTAGTCTATGTAGACATTTTTAAAAGATCATCACACCTCCATGTCTGAGGAACTGTGTGAAGTAAAGGAATACCCACAACACTTTCTTTATTCAGACAAACCCTTATAAGAGAACAGTACTGACCCTCAGAAGGATAACTGTTCTCCACCCAGAGTGAAGTGCTCAAAACCCATAAGTGCTTTATTAGAAAGAACAAGGCCTCCAAAACAAGGCCTTCCTCAAGAAACCTTGAGACTGGCATTCTTGGTTAAGATAGTGAGTGTAACAGTGCCATCTGTTCTGGTCTAATTTCAGAAACAAAAACCAAAAAACAAAACATCTTCTAGAGCCATAGAAGAAGGTGAGAACTCGTTAGGGAGGGAGGAAGGAAGGAAAGAAGGAAGGAAGAAAGGAAAGAAAGAAGGAAGAAAGGAAGGAAAGAAGGAAGGAAAGAAGGAAGAAAGAAGGAAGAAAAGAAGGAAGGAATGAGGAAGGAAAGAGAGAGAAAAACACAGAGAGACAGACAGAAACAGAAAGAGAGAGATGAAATAGAGGCAGAACAAAGGCAGAGAGAGACAGAAACAGATAGATAGATAGACAGATAGATGGAGACAGGGACAGGGACAGGGATAGAGAGGGGAGAGGAAGAAAGAAATAGCATCAATGAAAAATGGAATTGATGCACTCAATCCTTGAGACTTCTGGAGAAAAGAGGGTCTGATTCTTCTTAAGTGGGTCTTGGAAGAGATCAGCTAAAGTAGGGCTGTTCATTTTTCACAGTGCTAAAGAGAAAAGGAGAAGGTGCAGAAGAAGAGAATTACAGTTCACATGCAGCCCTCCCTACCTGGAGATATCAGCACAGCAGATGAGAACAAGGCAATCTCTTCCTCGGTCAGCTGCAAGGAACACAAATTCTTTGCAAAGTCAAATGCTTCATTCACCAGGTCATCAGAACCTATAAAAGGACAAGAGCAATTTACTGAATAACATTGGAACTAAATGGGATGAGAGTCAAGAAAAGCTGATTTCTATATAGTTACTTAAGGGCTTGTATCCTGGCCACCCTTAGAACTATCTGAAACCCTTTTTTCAAACAAGAGGCGTAAGAGTACTTACAAGATAGAGAAACTCGGTCTTAGCAGCTAAGTGGTACAGCTATATGGTATATGAAGTCGTCAAGTCCTGAGTTCAAATTCAGACTCAGACACCTACTGGAAAGGTGACTTTTGGGCAAGTTGTTTTACCTCTGTTTGCCTCAGTTTCCTCATCTGTGGAAGGGGGATAATAACAGCACCTACCCCCAGGGTTATGATGATGATCAAAGAAGATAATAATTATAAAGTACTTAGCATGGCACTTGGCACATAAAAAGAGATATATAATTATTAGCTATTATTCATTCTTATGAGTTCAAATCCAGATTCAGACACCAGCTAGGTGACCTTTGGGCAAATAACTTAACCTCTGCCTTAGTTTCATCATTTGTAAAAGGGGAGTCATAATAGCAGCTACCGTCCAGGGTTGATGTTAAGTTCAAAATAATGTATTTTGTAAAATGCTTAGCACAATACCTGGCATGTAGTAGGTATGATGTAAATGAGCTATATTATTATTATATTATTATTATTGTTATTAGAAGCAGCAGTCTTATGGGTCAGACAGAGTCTAGAAGAGCAGAAGGCTGACTAAATCCTTTTGGATTTGAACCAGGGGATGTAGGGCATCTGGGTACTCCATGCCAGTGGTGTCAAACTCAGATAGAAATAGATCCCCACGGGCTGCATATGGTCTTAGAAAACTACTACCTAACATTTCTATGTTATGTTGTATTTTTATTTGGTTAAAAATTTCCCAATTTCATTTTAACCTGGTTCAGACAGGACTCAAGATTTTACAGGCCTCTAGAAGCTTGATGGTGGAGTTTGACACTTTTGGCTCTACATCGGAGGGGGGGGACGGGGGAAATCATTAAATCATAGAATTTCAGAGTTGGATGGGAACTCAGTGATTATATAGTCCAACTCACAAGCCAAATGGAATTCCTGCTCCAACAGGCCTCAACTGGCCTCTCTTTGGAAATGTCCAGTGGGAGGATACATACCTATTGAGGCTGTGAAAGCTCTAATTGTTAGGAAGCTTTTCTGACATAAAATAGTCTTTGCGATTTCCTTTGCAGTTTCCAACAGTTGCCTCTACTTCTGTCTACTGGGACCATGAAGAACAGGTGTAATCTCTCTTTTCCACGGCACCCCTTCAAATTCCTGAAGACAGCTGATCGCATGTGACCTTAGTTTTCTCATTTCTGGGTTAAAGATTCTCAGCTCCTTTAACCAGTTCTGGTGGGCAGGGGGGGTTCAAGGCTATGCTTTCCTGTGGATGTTCTTCAGCTTTTAACATCCCTACTAAACTGTGGTGGCAAAAAGTGAAAGGATTGGATAGTTTTCCATGATTCCTTCCAGCTCTAAATCTTGTGATCTTAAGATTTTTTTTTGTTCCTGCAATTAGATTTTGATCTGAGTCACTCTCTGGAAAACTACGTGGTGGACTGGAGCTATCTTAGGATTATTCTTTAAGAAAAGGAGACACAGAGAAAACTAAAGGCGTTGAAGATAATAATTGTAAATTGTAAAAAGCGCTATATAAATAGTAGCTATTATTTATTCTTATGAGTTCAAATCCAGATTCCGACACCAGGTAGGTGACCTTTGGGCAAGTAACTTAACCTCTGTTTACCTTATTTTCATCATTTGTAAAAGGGGAGTCATAATAGCAGCTACCTTCCAGGGTTGATGTTAAATTCAAAATAATGTATTTTGTAAAATGATTAGCACAATACCAACAGCAGCTAGGTGAAAGTAATAGTGCACCGACTTAGACTGAGGAAATCCTGAGTTTGAATTCTACCTCAAAATTTACCAGCTGTATGATCCCAGGGCAAGTAACTTAGCCTCTTTCAGCATCATCTGTAAAATGGGTAGAACAGGACCTTTTTCACAGGGTTTTTGATAGACTCAGATGGGATAATATTTTGCCAACCTTAAAGCACTATATAAGTGCTAGTTGTTATCATTATAGTCAATTAGCAATCCTATAGCAATCCCAAGTTAATTTTTATTTTATGAGGCTGGAAATTTTCCACAGATGTTTCTCAAGTCTTCTTCTTTCTTGAAAACTAAGCCTGGGAGACGAAGTGGACGGACGTGTATCAACTGCGTGGAGGGAATAGTGCCAACCTTGACCTAATTGCTGCCAGTCGACTAGATCAGCTAACAGCATGGGCAAGGCAAAGTGGTGTTCTGCTTTGGCATTTAAGAGCAAGATATGGAGCAGATGAAACCAAGGACCTTGGAAACTTCCTGGCATCAATTCAGGTTTGCTAATGCTCTTTGATCATGCTTGGGTGCCCAAGTGGGTTGAAAGAGATGATGAAACAATTCTAATCAGAGTTCTACCGGAGTAGAGGTCCTCAAACTCTTATGATCTATAAACCAGGATCATAGGGTCATAGGTCATCATAGGTAAAGAATATATAGTTGAGAAATTTAGAGTTGGAAGAAATCTTAAAGACTGTCTAGTTCAACCTTCTTATTTTATGGATAAGGAAACTAAGGGGGAAAGGAATGGGGAAGGGAAGAGAAGGGAAAGAAAAGGAAAGGAAGGGAAATGAAAGGAAAAGATCGGAGGACAGAAGGGAATAAACATTTATATAGTACTTACCACGTGGCAGGCTTTGTGCTAAATGCTTTACAAATATTATCTCATTTGATGCAAGGCTCATGGAGTTTAAGGGACTGGGTCATAGGGCTTTTAAGTGGCCAAACAGGTATTAAAACGCAAGCTCTGTGACAAGAAGTTCAGGGTTTTCTATTGGACCACTATTTCTGACTTTGGTATTGCAGAAGACCCAGACAGCAGACCATCTTTTTCACCCATGTCCCCTTGCCAGGCTCAATAAGCTTGGCCATGATTAATAGATAGAATATCACTATCTTTGATAGGGCATGAATGATGTAATGTCTAGTTTAATTAGATATCCTAACCAGGTATCATTAATTCATGCCAAGAATGAAACTTTAAGTTATGTCATCTTTTAAACATAAATGCTACCCAAGGTAACCTGGGACCACCTGGGGACCTTGGATACATTTAGAGAAGCACTGTATAAAGCAGATGTCTCTTTTCTTTCCTTTCCTTTCCTTTCCTTTCCTTTCCTTTCCTTTCCTTTCCTTTCCTTTCCTTTCCTTTCCTTTCCTTTCCTTTCCTTTCCTTTCCTTTCCTTTCCTTTCCTTTCCTTTCCTTTCCTTTCCTTTCCTTTCCTTTCTTCCTTTCCTTTCCTTTCCTTTCCTTTCCTTTCCTTTCCTTTCCTTTCCTTTCCTTCCTTTCCTTTCCTTTCCTTTCCTTTCCTTTCCTTTCCTTTCCTTTCCTTTCCTTTCCTTTCCTATTCTTTTCTTTTCTTTCTCTCTCTCCCTTCCTTCCTTCCTTCCTTCCTTCCTTCCTTCCTTCCTTCCTTCCTTCCTTCCTTCCTTCCTTCCTTCCTTCCTTCCTTCCTTCCCTTTTTTTTTTAACAGAATCAATTACAATGAACCCTAGTCTTTCTCAGCAACCAAGCTGTGGTCTGGCTCAAAGTGAGAAGTGCCTTCCAGTACTGTCTTTTCTTTATTGTCATTCTTAGTGGGCTCTGTGATTCTTCTATTTCTCAGGTGGGGGAGCCAAACTCTTCCCCATAGTTTGAATGAATGAATGAAAAAACACATTTAATAAGCATTTGCTATGTGTCAAACACTATTTTAAGGGCTGCAGATGCAAATACAGAGAGTAGAAGACAGTTCTTGCCCTCAAGGAACTTTACATTCTAATTGGGGAAGACCATATACATATGATGTTTAAAAAATGAATTATTCACCTTTGCTTTTGCCAGGGCTGGAGCCCATGGGTACACATACCCTGCATGGGTGCACACACACTTGAGCTGATGTTTAAGGTGAGGAAACCGGTAGTAGCTAAACAGAAAAAATAAACAAGCCTCGAGGTATCCACTAAAAATAAACTTACCTAAGGCTTTGAACATTTGCATTCCTCCGTACTTTCCTTCAAACAGAACAGTGTTGTTTAGTGGGTTGAAGGCACGACACATTCTCACTAAAACCACTTCCAAGCAACCTGTCCAGGTGAAGAAAAAAACATAGTAAGATGGAATTTGTTAGAGCAGTGAAGCCACTCTAGGGGACATTTTTTAAAATTTCATAAACTCATTTCATTCATTCTCCTCTAAACCAAATCTTTCCCGATCCTCTAAAATGGTCACTGCTTACCCTCTACTTAAATTACCTTATATTTACTAACCTGAGCAAATATTATATCTAGAATGTAAACCTCTTGAGGGCAGGGATTGGTTTTAATTTTATTTTCTCACTTCCAAGCAGAATGCTTTGCACATAAACAGCACTTAAGACATGTTAAGTAAATTGAATCAGCTATTTAGCATTTAGTAAAAGCTGCAAGACTCTCTTATTGGGGAGGGAGGAGAAAATATGGATATAAAGATTATAATCCAATTTAATTTTTTTTTCTAGTTTGGTTCTCAGGCTGTGATTTCATTGGTGTAAACTTCTGGGGAAGACGTAATCAATGTAGATCAGCAACTGCTCTGTACATTATAGTTTTAGAGGGCCTGGGATATATAAAGGTTAAATGACTTGCCCAGGGTCATAAGGAAGTTGTATGAAATCAGATGGGGGTGGGATCACTTCTTGTTGAAGAACCGAGAATGGCAAAAGCTTCATGGAAAAGATAGCACTAATGGGTAGGTCACTAATAGGCTTTTTTTTTTAGTTGTTATTACTGTTCTAGGGAGCAAATGGCTCTTGATTCTTAAGTGAATTATAAAAACTGTGAAGGATACAACGTATTTCCAAAATGGCCATGATCAGAAGTTAAATAATGCATATGGCACCTTATTTGTGGAGTAAAGAACACCAATTGGGTACAATGAGAATGAGTTAATCCTCAATTATCTGTCTTAATAGATTTAATGTGGTAATATAGATAAAACAAAATAGTGGATCATAGTCAAAAATTATCTTTGGTTCTGGGAGACTTGATCTGGCTGTTTTGTGAAAGATAGTTGCCATTTTAATTTTATTTGTCTTTAGACTTGTCTTTAGATTGGTTTGCATTACTGGAGCATGTAGCTAGGCATAGAGACGATTAGATGGTAAGGAAAAGTGAGTATGGTATTAAACATTTTTTTAAATGAAAAGCAAACAGTTCTATATATTTTCAGTAATATTGCCTGGATGGCAGGAGATTTGTTTAAGTTGCCTAGAGAAAAAGGGTTCTTAACCAGGGTCTATGAGTTTTAAAAAATTGATAAATGTATATATGTATATAATATATATGACTGGTTTTCTTTTGTAATCCTATGTGTTTCATTTTTTGCACTTAAAAATATTATTCTGAGAAGGGGTTTGTACGCTTCATCTGACTGTCCAAAGGGGTTCAAGACACACACAAAAGTCCTGCCCTAGAGGATGCTTCCTATTGTAGTATGCATATATAGGCATTTAGTAAACATCAGTTCAATAGAGATGAGGAGAAAGGATTCAGAATTTGAGCCACTTCACTTTATAATATCAGAAGCAAGGCTAACACCAATGAAACTGAGCCTCAGAAACCACAAAGCAACCCCATGATGCATTTTGTCAGCTTTCTGTGGTATCTGACATTTCTAAGGGTCATAGTCTTTCCTGATATGTTTGCATTTACATGTATACACACAACTCAGGAGCTACGTCCTTTCAGCTAAATTCAGGTCAGTAGCTGAGGGTAGAGTTTCTTTTCCTATGTCACAAAAATAAGGGCAGAATCACATAGTCAAGGGCAATTTGGGAAATGATAAACTTTAGCCAAATCCTTCCTGTAGTTTTCAGATTGGACATATCCCAAGATCTTCAAACAGATGTTTTAAAAATGCTGCTAGGACTCCATTGCTGCTGATGCTCCGAAATGACAATAGAAGCAGTTTTCCTGATTCTAAGCTGTTTACTTTTTTCTTTTCTTTTGCTAGCCAAATGAATGAGGTTGCTTAAGGGGAAGGATCACCATGGAGGGCATTTCAGCTGTACTGTTAAACTGGACTATCAATTAGTCAATCAATAATTTATTAAGTGCCTACCATGTTCCAAGCACTGTGCTAAATATTGGGGATACAAAAAGAGGAAAGAGACAGTCCCTGCCATCAAGAAGCTTACAATTTAATAAGGGAGGCAACATGCAAGCAAATATATACAAAGCAAGCTATATGCAGGATAAATAGGAAACAGTTAACAAAGGGAAGGCACTAGATTTAAGAGGGGATGGGGAAGGCTTCCTGTAGAAGGTGGGATTTTAGTTGGAACTTAAAGGAAACCAGGGAAGTCAGTAGTAGAAGAAGAGCAGGGAGAGTATTCCAGGCACAAGAGACAGCCAGAGAAAATGCTTAAACCTGTGAAATGAGCATCTTATTTGTGGAACAATCAGAAGGCTAGGGTCACTAAATGGAACACTACATATTGGGGGGTAAGGAGTAAGAAGACTTGGAAAGGTAGGAGGGAGTTATGAAGGCTTTTGAATGCATTTTATATTTGACCCTGGAGGCAATAGGGAGCCATTGGAATTGGTTGAATAGGGAGGGTAATGTGATTGGACCTGCCCTTTGGGAAAATCACCTTAGTGGCCAAATGGAGGATGGATTGGAGTGGGGAGAACACTTGAGGTAGGCAGACCCACCAGCAGACTTTTGCAGTAATCCAGGCCTGAGGTGATGAAGGCCGACACTAGAGTGGTGGCAGTGTCAGAAAAGAGAAGAGGGCATATTCTAGAGACATTGCAAAGGTGAAATCAATAGGTCTTGGCAACAGATTGGCTATGGGGTTGGTGAGAGATAGTGGGGAGTCAAAAATGACTCTTAGGTTGTGAGTCTGAGGGACTGGAAAGATGTGTTGTTCTCTACAGTATTAGGGAAGGTAGGAAGGGAGTGGAGCCCAAGGAGAAAGATGTTGAGTTCTGACTTGGACATATTGTGTTTAAGATGCCTACTAGACATCTAGTTTGAGATGTCTAAAAGGCAGTTGGACATGCATAATTATTTCTCCACTCAAAGTCTTTGGTTGTATTTACTGTGTCCAACAAATGGTACATGGAACTTTTCCAGAGTACTTATTCCTTTCACTGATATTCTTCAGGTGTCTAGCTAGACCCCTCTTCTGCCACACTCCTAGGGACTATAGGATTCATTAAGAAAGGCTCTTCACCACTAGGAAGTTCAGATCCCTATCATGGAACATTCTGTAAGCTTGGGGAAAGTCCTGCTCCTCAATTCAATTCGAATCAACAAAGATTCATTATGCCCCACTACATATCTGGCACAGGTGTTAAGTTTCAGAGGTACAAAAACAAAATAGTCCCTACTCTCCAGCAGATTACATTCTACTGACTGGGAGGGCAGAGAAACAGCAACCATTCCCCCAGGCACTCAAAGTCCATCTGGGAGACCCTACTTATTTATAATGTAAGAAAAAAAAATAGCCTCGAACTTATTTCCTTAGGGATATTCAGAATATTTTGAAAACCTACTTTCACTGGCTCTGGTAACTTCCAGCCTTTTGTCTAGCCTTAACTACCAAGTAATTCAATTCAATTCAATTTAATGCGATGTAATTAAGCAGCTATTTATTAAGCACCTACTATGTGCCCAAATTAGACAGCTAGATGGCACAGTAGATAGAGTGCCAGGCCTAGAATTAGGAAGACACATCTTTCTGAGTTCAAATCTGGCCTTAGACATTTACTAGCTGTGTGACCCTGGTTTGCCTCAGTTTCCTTATCTGTAAAATGAGTTGGAGAAGGAAATTGCAAACCACTCCAGTGTCTTTGCCCAAAACAAAACAAAACTCAAAACCCAAATGGGGTCATGAAGAGTCAGACTGAACAACAACATGTGTGCCAAAACAATTGTCCCTGAGGGAACCTTTTACTGGGAGGGATACATAACTTTGTAATGTAAATGCAAAGTAATTTCTAGAGATAGCATGTGTTAATAACTGGCCTAGTGTGAGAAAAGAACCATTTTGGAACTTCCATTTCTAGAGTACTTGAAAGCTTATAAAACTTTTTCCTCTCAATTCAAATAAGGTGGTAGTGTAAATATTATTACCCTCATTTTACAAATGGGGAAACTGAGGTTCAGAGAGGTGACCTTGCTGAAGGTCACACACCTAATTTGTGACAAAACCAAAAGTTAAGGATGGATGTCACGGGATCTGGCAATAACTACATCCCGTTAAGTCTGACGCTGACAAACCTAGTGTTCCTTAAACTGTGCTTTGAGAAGAAACCAATGCATTTCTGGATCTCAAGAAAGGAAGACAATTTCCCTTCCTGCTTAAGTCAGGGCATCACTGAATCCAGCACCAAGTAGACTGTTTTTTCAGTTCCTTCCTGAGTGGTGGGGTGCTTGTGGGAGGAGTATGTACCCGTTTTCCTTCTTTTCTCTCCTCCCTCCCCCCACCCCCGCCCCAACCCCCCAGCCCCGCACTGGCTGCAGGCTATTCTCATTAAAATGATTGGAATTGACCACAGAGGCAAGGGCTCAGTTAGCCTGGATTTGTTTCCCTGAAAGCCGGTGTTTTTTTTTTTTTTTTTAACGCGCCAGCTCAGCAATTCAGCCACCTTGACACACTAATTACTTGCCGTGCCTGTCAGCCTGGGTCTCTCAGCCTCTGCAATTAATGGCGCCGCTTTCAATAAGCAGAATTGCATTTGACTTCAAAGGAGAATCGAAAGGAAGAACGGGGCATTTTTATTATAGAGAGTTCCCTATGGGAGCTGGAGGACCATGTGTGGGCGGTAAAAATGAGCCGCTTACTGGAAAGGGGATTGATTAGGACCAACACCGCGGTAACTGCCCACCGCAGCCTAGTCTAAACTCCACGGGCCCCCTTAGTCTTGCACATGCTCACCTGACTTCAGGAGTAGAATCTGATCATTTTGACAGAGCTCCATGAAACCTGTGATCCTCTTCGCAAACTCCACCACATATTGGATTGCGTGAGTGATCTGAACAGCACACTGTTGCCACAATGCCTCTCTGGTCTTCAAGAGGAAAAAAAAACCACACACACACACACACACACACACACACACACACACACACACACACACACGAAGAGTGAAAGAAGGAACAAAGAAACTCCCTGGAAACTAGATAAGTGACACAGAATTACTGGATTCCTGCTTATCTGTCCCCTGGGCCCCGAGGTGGGAATTTACAGGATTCTCTTAATAAGAGGTAGGGTGTTTGGTGTGAATGTACCAAAGGTATTGTGCTGCTCTATTTGGACCTTGATAGACTGAAGTCATGGGAAAGTGAAAGGGATGAAAACGGGGAAAATGGCTTCCAGGACACCTCGTTTCTCAAAGCCACTTTTCCCCTTTTATTTTTTTCCATCTTTTTCTTCTCTATCCAACAGATTCAACTTTTCTTCCTTAACGAGGGTAAAAGAAACTCTTTGGATTATGTGTAACCTGGCATTTCACTGAGCTGTCCTTCTTGCTTCTGAATGACCACTATATACTAGCTGTTGAAATTGCTAGGCAGGTAGAAGCTCGGGTAATATTTACAGGTAGTTAGTTAGCAATCTAACATTAACCTAGGGATATTTCAAGGCAGTTGAATGAAGTTCAAGCTAGGTGATCCAGTGAATACAGCCATGGAGCTGGAATTAGGAAGACATAAGTTCTTTTCTGATCTCAGACCTTATTAGCTGTGTGACCATGGGTAAGTCAATTATTTCTCTTTGCCTCAGTTTCCTTATCTGTAAAACGGGATTATAATAACACCTACCTCCTAGGGTTTTTATGAGGACCTAATGAGATAATTATGTGCAGTGCCTGGCACATAGTAAGGGTGTTTATTGAATTAATAATAATTCAATATTATTTAGTAATCTTGAATTTTTAGCTATAAAATTATTTTATTAATTATTAACTTATTAAATATTATTTAGTAATATGTGTTTATTGAATTAAGTTAGATGAAAAGCATTCAAGGAAAATCAATAGTTACAGAAAACTGGTCTCTCCCTTAAAAAAAAAAAAAACCCTCTAGCATTTTAAACAAATGAAAACCACATTATTAATATCACAACAGTATAGTGGGGTAAGCCAACACAGATTTCCTGGGATCATAGAATTTTTGAGACAGAGGAGACTGTAGACATTGTATAATCCCACTCCTTCAATTCCCCAAGGTTACAGCTTTCGTGTACTATTATAGGGGTCAGAACCCAGGTCTCCACAGAGTTCTTTATAATATTTTGTATTTTGTCTAAAACATAATCATAGAACTTTAGAGCTGGAAGGGGTGTTTAAGATCACCTAGGAAAGCCTCTCAATTTTTACAGATGAGGAAACTGAAGCTTGGAAAGGTGAAGTCTCTTGCTCAAGGCCAACTAAAATAATCTCTCCACCAGCAGTGATAGTCCTTTGATACGATTGTTATTTGAATGATAGGACATCTTACGAAGGCAAAAGAAAAAAAAAGGCAAAATTCTAAAACAGTTAAGTGTGCTTTTCTTTTGCCTTCATGAGATGTGACAAGAAAATCATAGCATAACAGATGCAAAGTTGGTGGAGACTTTAGAAGCTATCTAGTTCCATGCTTTCATTTTACAGATGAGGAAACTGAGGTTCAGAGATGAAGTGACTCAACTAAAGTTACACGTTTAGCAAATGGCAAATTCCATGTTTGAACCCAGGCCCTCTGAGCCTAAAGCCTTTCCACTCCACTAGGCTGCTTCTGATTCCAAGACTCACATTGAATAAACTATCAGTGAATATCTTATAATGTTCTTCTTTAAACTGCTTTCTCTCTATGCTTTCAGTGGATTAAAAAAAAATATTATTCAATTGCTCCTTCTGCTCAATCCCATTAGAACCCTTTCCCAACATGGTAAAATACCATTAAATGTTCTAAAGGTGGTGGCAGCAGGGATGGACAGCTACAGGATTACAGGAAACAGAAGTAAGGCTCTCTACAGTTTCTCCGAATACCTTGCTCTGATACGCCTTAATTTCTTCATACGTGTGAGTCTGCCAGGCTAGCTGGTGAAGCTCCTCCATGGTGTATTGACATGTCTCCAAATGGGACTTAATGATGTTCTGTGCAATTCGATCTAGGAGAAAGAAAAATCAATTTGTAGGTTTGGGAATAAAACTGCTGTCTCCAAGGAAATCAGCTTTACAAATATTTAATGTTTGAAAGCAGTTTGGAAACACGCTATTGTGTCAGGAAGTTTTTTTTTTCCTCTCCAAACTCTGTCCACCTCAAAAGCTCAAGACAAATTATCTACTTGGATATTTTTCAGAATCACTCTGTCCATTAAAAGGATGAGAACTTATATTTGGTGCCCTCTCCCTTGCATGTTCTCTGACCCACATTATTGGGATTCTTGCTAGTTGTAAAGATTTCATTATTATTACTGTCATTATTGCTATCAAATTAAACTGAAACAATTGTGCCTTATGTTGTTTGGGCTAAGAATACTCTAACAATCTTAACACTTCCTTTGAAAACATCTTAAATGAGCTTGGAAAACATGAAAAGTCTTTAAAAGCAGCAATGAGCACCGTCTGTCTTCAGTTCCTTGAAGTTCAAATTTGGCTATGGTTAGTAGGAGGTCCCCTAAAAAAATCACGATCTCTCAGCTATCTGAGGGAATGGCTGGTGGGTACTTTGAAGAAGATGCAGGAGGCAAGGAAACCAAACTCCTTTCTGACAAGGCAAGGGTTTTGGGCAGCATTTCAATCTTCAGGTTGTTATTTATGCTCTATGAAACCGAATCCAGGAGTACCCTTTTGTCTCAACCTCTCCCTGACTCTGATAAT